CTCTTCCACCACCATGGACTTCCTCTGCTCCCTTGTTGCTTTGGACCAGAACTGGACTGGCTCTCCCCAGCCCAACCCTGCTCGGCTGTGTTGGACTCTTCCCATGACCTCCTTGTGTTGTAGCCTGTTAATGGCTTGATCGACTTCCTGCTGGGCCCTCCATCTGCGCCCAGTGCGGACGGTCACCCCTGCGCTCTTCACTGCTTCGTCCCTGGATTCCTTTAGAATACAAGAAGGGTCTTCTCCTGCTTGTACCCGAGGTTGATGGACTTCAAAGGAAGCTGAAGAGCATTCTTGCTGAAGAGGCCTGTGTCAGAGAAGCAGCGCGGGAGGCCAAACCACTTCCTGATGTAGGTGTTGGAGATGGTGTCCATTCTGCTAACCAGGGATGACGGTATTTCGGACACCTTCAGAGCATAATATAATGTAATATAATATTAGTGTAATTACTAGTAAGGTACCTAGGACTCTGTATTTCAATTTTGTTAGTAACTCTTTATTAGATACTAATTAGAAGTTCCCCAAATAATTCAACTAGTATGTTCTCCAGTTGTTGTTGGAACCTTTACTGATTTTACTAGTAATTATTCATTAGTTACTAGTGCTTATTCATTCTAGGATTTATTCCAGATTTAGGAACTGCTATTCGAACTTCCGTGTCGATCCGAGTTGTTAGCTACTAGTAACATTTGTTATCTTACTAGTTAGAGTTTTTTTATTTATAATATGTGAGAAATGGCTACATTATTGTTCAAATGAAAATCTTGCTAGTCAGATTATTTAAAATATTACTACAAGGATCTAGAATGACGCAGTATAAATATAATAAATATGCAAGAAAAACTGGACTAGAGTCAATTCTTTATACTTAAAAGAACTAAGAGGAAACTACAGAATAAGTAATGATTTTTTTAAACTGAAATGTGTACCAGCAACAAAATGGGAATATATATATATATATATAAGTTAGAAGTGAATAGTTATCTGAACCACAGATATTATAGCCAAGACAATGTCAGCAAACTAAGAAAGTTTTTCTTTGTGTGTCTCTAAGTAACACAAGCCAGCACAATGTCTTTTTCCTTTTGAAATCTGCTGTGATAGTTTGTCTCAGATGAACAAGCAGTGATTTTCTTTTCAGATCATATTGCCATGTTTTTAACCATTTCATCTCTACACACTGTTTTGAACCCCCGCAGATGAGTTGACCTTTCAGCATCCTGAAGAATATTTTTATCAAGCGCTAAAATTAGTTACTGCTCTAAACAACAATTTCTTCCCCAGCCACTGTTGGTTATTTTAACCTCCAGCGATTATTATGTTCCACACAGCTGTTCCCTTCAATCCCACAATTCAGTGCCTCTGTCTTCTGTTTCCTCCAGCACGCGAGGAGACTACAGTCAAGCGGGGAAGAAGGAGAAGTTTCGTTATGCCACCACACTAGTCTTCATCCAGTGCATCATTAATGCTGCTTTCGCCAGACTCTGTGAGTCAAACCTGCAGATGTTCTGACTGCATGTGTGGAGATCATGTGTTGTTGTATCGAATGGGTGGCATCATGTTATGGCACATAAATGTTGCTGCAGGTGTTTAAAATCTGAATGACAAGTAATTTAAGCATGCTCTCTGTTTTGTGTATGCAGTAATTCTGTTTTTTGAGGGCTCAAAGCAGGACCACACGAGAAGCTGGCTGTATGGCATGTGCTCTCTGTCTTACCTGGGTGCCATGGTGTCCAGTAACTCGGCCCTGCAGTATGTCAACTACCCCACACAGGTCTGCACAGATCTCTACTCGTGAATATCTGATTCTCTTCCTCACAACACCACGCTCATGAGTCTTTGTTCTTTCTAGGTTTTGGGAAAATCCTGTAAACCTATTCCAGGTGAGTATCTTTATCTGTTTTAATCACACAAACATAGGAAAGAATGTAGAACATGCTGGGCTTGTTTTACTGTAGTTCACACTAAATGATTTTAGGGATTTACAGTTTCATTTGTACATACACTACCATTCAGAGGTTTAAGGTCAGCAAGCTTTTTTTTTAAGAAATGAATACTTTCAATTAGCGAAGATGCGTTAAACATCATAAGTGACAAAAAAATCATTTATAATCATACAAACAATTACGTTTTTTATTAAATCCTGTTCTTTTCAACTTTCTGTTTATCATATAATCTAGAAAAGCAGCATCATAGTTTTCACAAAAATAATAAGTAGTTTTTAGATACATATTAGACATATTACAATGATTTTTGAAGGGTCATGTGACCCTGAAGACTGGAGTAAATAAATTAAGGTTTGCCATCACTTTTGTCATAATTTTAAAACATATTCAGATAGAAAAGTTATTTAAAAATATTAATAATATTTGTCAATATTAATGTTTTTTGATCAAATAAATACAAGCTTGGTAAACATAAGAAACCAAAAAATAAATAAATAAAATATTATCCAACCCCAAATGTTGGAATGTTAGTGTACAAAAGACTAAACAGTGGGCTCAACATTTTTGGACCCTTATTAAGTGTTTTTCAAACACCTAAGTAACACTAAATATTAAAAAAGTCATTACAATAAATAAAAAATATCCATCTAGATGGCCTTTATTTTAAAAAAAAAAGTTGGCACAAACACACTTTCTAGAAAATACAGTAAATAGTATAAAATTAAATTGATAGAAAAAACTCCTGGGACAAGTTCTTTACAAATCATTATTAAAAAAAATCTTAAGAAAAGTGCATTTCTAAAAAATGGTTTCGCACCCCCCCCTTATACATTAAGTATCCAAATACTTTTTTGGCCACTGTAGTTTTTATTAATTTCTCATCTGGATGTATTTTTGTTTAGACTACAAAATGTATGCTTGCCTCATATGTTCAATGTCTAACTGTGAGCATATATTCCCATATGGCCATATTTTTTGACTTATGTTTGTTGGCCATATGGCAAACTCCTCTATTTGTTCGTGCACTTCTTTTTAACCACCCAACAGAAACGCCTGCAGATTGATGGTGTTGGTCACGTCTTCTCATTGTGCTTTTGTCCCCTTGGCTCCACAGTGATGATTCTGGGTGTCACAATCCTAAGGAAGAAGTATCCCATGGCGAAGTATCTGTGTGTGTTTCTAATCGTCACTGGGGTCGCTCTCTTCCTCTACAAACCCAACAAAGGCTCCAGCACATCAGATGAACACACATTTGGCTTTGGAGAGATGCTGCTGGTTGGTCTCTCTTTGAATTTATTCCATTCTCTCCTCCCTTGTATGCTGATCTGATGTGTGTTTGCTTGATAGCTGCTGTCTCTGACTCTGGATGGGCTGACAGGTGTAGCTCAGGACCACATGAGGACACGGTACCAGACGGGAGCCAATCACATGATGCTGAACATCAACATGTGGTCCACACTGGTTTTAGGAATAAGTGAGTTATTAAAACGAAACACCTATTAAATTATAGGAGCTCTGGCAGTCTGTTAGTGAAAGTACTGGTTATTAAAGCTAAAAGAATAAATGTGTATCACTTGAATATTTATTAACTCTTCTATCTGAGTGATACATTTGAAAATTCACATTTTTTTCATGACTTCTGCATATGAGATTAAGATATTTTACAGTGTGTCTGATTTTAAACTCCATATTTAAAAAAAACAACTTGATTGTATTTCTGCGAATCACTTAAAATTGTCCACTTTAGTGAATCATTTAAAAATGTCTGACTCAACGATTCATTTGTGTCATTACTCAAAGTGTTCATGGAAGTCCCTGTGTGGCGGTTATAGTAATTAATACACTACAGTTTTGAAGCAGTAAGGAATTAAAGGTGCTGTATGTAGGATTGAGACTGAGTGGTTGAACTAGGTATTGCAGTCCAAATTCAAAATATTGGAGAGGGTTTTTTTCACTCGGCCCCTCCTCCTCAGCACACGCAGGTTGCCAGATTGAAATGAATGGAATGAAATACGCTGTGTTTTCCGCCAACTGGCAACCCGGGGTGCCGAAATACAATTGGGTAAACTGGCAGTGGGCGGGTTTCACAAACCAAAACAGAGACTGACATTCCGGCCCGGAACGCACATTTTCAAAGGAGAATAACTGACTGTAGCATTGTTTTTCAGATAAACAAGTATGTTAATTTAGCATGTTTCTTAAATATCTGCAAACATATTATGGGATTTTTATGCTTTAGTAGAGTCACAAACTTACATACAGCACCTTTAATAGTTTTATTTAGCAATGATACATTAAACTGATCAAAATTGACAATAAATATATTTATTATGTTACAAAATGTTGATATATTTCAAATAAATGCTGTACTCTTGAACTTTCTATTAATCCTAATCCTAAAAAAAAAACTAAAATATTAAGCAGCACAACTTGTTTTCATTAATTTCCTTATCATTAATAATGATAATAAGAAGAAATGTTTTTTGAGCACCAAATAATTATTTAGCATTATTAGGATGATTTATTATTAGCATAGTATATTTGGCATATTAGGATGGAGGATCATGTGACGCTGAAGACTGGAGAAATGATGCTGAAAATTCAGTTTTGCATCACAGGAATAAAATGCATATTAAAGTATATTACAATAGAAAAAAGTTATTTTAAATTGTAATAATATTTCACAATATTGCTGATTTATTTAACTGTATTAACGGGTGACCGTAAGACTTGTTTCAGAAAATCTTATTGACTCCAAAAATTTGAACGGTAGTGTGTGATCAAATTTTGCTGTTTATTACGATTTTATCATTATTTGATCATTTTGGTGTTCATGTAGTTAAAATCAGTGTTGAAAACATGCCATGGATTATTTTTAACTATATTTTTTCCCTCTATTTTACATATTGCCTAAAACATTTTTAATCAGCTTGGCAAAAATGACTGTTTGGTTGAAATTGTGCCATTTCAGAGTAAATGTATACCTATTTAGATATCATTTGAGAGCCCTGCATTATTTGAAATGGTATTTCCATCGTTGTCAGTGTATTTTCCTCCAGCAGGGGGAGCTCTGGCTCTATGGTTAGTGTTGCTGTTATTATTTCAGGCCTGACAGAAGCAACCCGCTGATCTCCAGCAGCTGTTCAGTCTGTCTGCCTCAGCTCTGAAAGGCATCTGTTCCTCACTTTTAATCTTTAATCTCATCACACATGCAGCAAACTTCCTTCCTTCCAAACCTCTCATTATGAAACCAGAGCCGTCCTGTGGTGCTCTCTGAAGTTATCAGAAATAATGAATAGTTTTGCTAAAGTTTCTCTTTCAACTATGCAAATGCGAAATAATACAGAGTCCAAAATTAACACTTTGCCAAGCCCAAATGTGAGTAAAAACTGGCTTTGGTGAGTCAAGTTACTTGCCAACCTCGTTATGGCATAATAAACCCTTTTAAATGAGTTTAAAAAAGCAGAATGTGATCACTGCAGCTAACATGAGTAATCCAAATCTAACCATCTACTAAGAAAATGATCTCTCGCTCTTTCTTTCTGCATAGTTGTGCTTTGGACAGGGGAGGTGTGGGAGTTTTTGTCATTTACTGACCGCTATCCTAGCATCATCTATAATATCCTCCTGTTCAGTATCACTAGTGCTCTTGGACAGGTGGGTTTGTTGTTTGTATAATATATCATTCATTTAGACTCCAGCGCCTAATGAGAATGAGGTGGTGATCCAGGGTTTTATTCTCCTCATCTTTCTTCACCTAGACTTTCATCTTCATGACTGTGGTGTATTTTGGGCCGCTCACCTGTTCCATCATCACAACGACACGGAAGTTCTTCACCATCCTGGGGTCTGTGCTGCTGTTTGGGAACGTCATCAGCACTATGCAGTGGTTTGGTACCATCCTCGTCTTCCTCGGTGAGTGACACGTTCTCAAAACTATATTATGTATATTTATATTGTAACACACACATACACACAAGCACTATGATTCAAAATGAAGTCTCTTATGCTCACCAAGCCTGCATCAAAAATATTGCTTTCTATTTTAATATATCATATGTGACCCTGTCTGTGAAAACCCAGCTAAAGTCATTTTTTGGTGATTTACTATTTTCTACATAAAAGCATCCTTCATAAAGATGTAGAACATTCTGTGCAAATATAACCTTTATATCTTTAAATAATGAGGCCATGTCGAAGATTGAAATCATAGTGAAATTAATGGTTGAAATCAAACTCTGATGCTTGTTATCTCATAATTAGATTTTGAGACTTTAGCCTGGATTTCACAGACAGGGTCACACATTTTAAAATAATAATTCATTCCTGTGATGCAAAGCTGAATTTTCAGCATCATTACTCCAGTCTTCAGTGTCACACGATCCTTCAGAAATCTTTCTAATATACTGATTTGCTGCTCAAGTAACACTTATTATTATCAATGTTGAAAACAGCTGTGCTGCTTAATATTTTTGTGGAAACGTAATAAATTTTTCAGGATTCTTTGATGAAAAGAAAGTTCAAAAGAACAGCGTTTATTTAAAAAAAAAATTTTTTGTAAGATTACAAATGTCTTTACTATCACTTTATAAATCTTAAATTCTGAATAAAAGTATTAATTTCTAAAAGGAAAAAAATATTACTGACCCCAAACATTTGAACGGTAGTATAATTTAATAATATAAAATAATATGTTTGTTAACTTAAATACAGTTAAAGAAGTTTATACATAGGTACAATTTACATTTGTTTACAAACTTCATTTGCAGCATTTGAGCATAAGGTTTTGGATTAAAAATGTTCATTAGAAAAATACAGTGATGTATGTCCACATTTTTGACTAGTCGTGTACTTCTGAGCTTGTTAAAGTTGAATAGTTCTATATTGAGCAGTACTAATAATCAGTCCAGAGCTGTATGACCATAGTGAACGGATATATAATGAGCTCAACCATGACTGTGCTCTGACTTTCAGGCCTCGGACTGGATGCCAAATTTGGAAAGTCTCCTAAGAAGACGACACACTGAAGACTGGAACCCTGTGTGTGTGTGTGTGTGTGTGTGTGTGTGTGTGTGCATGCGCACATGTATGCCTGCATCTGAACTCCTGAGACAAACATAGACGTTGGTGTACTCCAGAGATGGTGTTTTAGCACTCAAAATATTGTTATTATGCTGATGTTCTGAACATTTAATTATGGGATAGGTTTGACCATCATCTTGCAAAATGGTATCCATGGTAACAGAGGGACAGTGCAAATGTGTGTCTGTGCCTAATCATAATCTGTCATGCTCATAAGGCGAAATCAAAAAGATAAAGTTTGGATAAAGATCCTATAAAAGGTAGACACACCACAGCTGATTGTACTTCCGGGAAGACTCCCTCCAGCGAGCCAACCACTGAATTTTTTAACTACCACAATTCGTACTTTTGACACATTTCTATATTTACCTCCTAGACATTTGAGAAGTCAGACAGGTGTGTTCTGCCTTAACTCTAGTCTTAATTTAGGCAGTAAATAGTTAAACGTCTGATTGTCATTGCATTCCCCAAAAAGTGTATGTGTGGTGTTTACTTTGCGTATGTAATGCACAAACACCTGTATAGATGAATTATTTGTCAAAACATGGCTTTTTCATACCAGATGTCATATTTATATTCATGTGTCTTGTTTGAAGTAAGCAAAACAAATATTTAGAAAGTTCACATTTTTTACAAAAAATATCATCTGCATTAGACTGTATCCTTATGTCAGAATAAAAATGGAATTTTATAGATTAATTCTACTCCGCATCTCTATGAAACGATCTGTTTAGAATCATAATCGGTGTTTAAATAAAAGGGATACTCAATCAGGTTTGTTGACCAGCTGTCATCGGGGAACGTCTGCCAGCATCATGTTCTCTCTCTGCTTGGAGGAGAAAAACAACCAGATGACATTAAACACACACCCTGGACATGAATGGGTTTGTGGTGTGTCTGTTTGCACTCGCAGCTTTGGTGGGCGCTTTCGAAACCCTTGCGAATCATTTGTTTCGAAGCGCCAAAGTCACGTGATTTCTGCAGAGCCATTGTGAACCAGTGGTTTTAATGATTACTGATTAGTTTTATAAATTCGTTTTAATAACACAGCCTTATTAGCCTAATTAACAAGCTCTCCATCAGACAAACAAAACAAGTCCAAGCAAATTAATTTAACAACACACATGCAGACACGTCATATTTAGTAGTATTATATGATTTGGTAATTTTCTTTTAAATAGATTAAACTTTCAATTAAACATTCGCAATAGTTTTTATACATGTTTGAGCTGAGTTTTGTTTCATTTCTGACCAGTAGGCGTCACCAACCTGTGGCGTTTCAAACGCTTAGAAAAATTGAATCATTTTGCGAAGCCTTTGATTCAGTGTTTCAAAAAGCGTTTCTCTCATGATCACTATAAAGACTTGTTGCAGTATAGGTGCAAAAACTACGGAACCATGCGGACAAAAATGTTATCTTGGCCACGAATTAAGAATTCGTCTTTACACATTCATTTTGTTCCCTCGTTTTAGTAGATTGCAATACGTTGTAGGCTACTAATTAGGGATGTAACGATTCACTCAACTCACGATTCGATTCGCGATTTTGATTTCACGATTCGATTCGAGATTTTGATTTCACGATTCGATTCACGATTTTGATTTCACGATTCGAGATTTTGATTTCTCGATTCACGATTTTGATTTCACGATTCGATTCGAGATTTTGATTTCTCGATTCGATTCACGATTTAGATTTCACGATTCGATTCAAGATTTTGATTTCACGATTCGATTCGAGATTTTGATTTCACGATTCGATTTGAGATTTAGATTTTTCGATTCGATTCACGATTTTGATTTCTCGATTCGAGATTGATTCGAGATTTTGATTTCTCGATTCGAGGTTTGGATTTCTCGATTCACGATTTTGATTTCACGATTCGATTCGAGATTTTGATTCCACAATTCGATTCACGATTTTTTTTTTTTTAACAAAATTAGATTTAAGACAAATTATAAATTAAATGTGTCCTTTTATTATTGCTTGGACAAAATGCTGCACATTTCTTTGTGAAATTGAAATATAACACTATAATAATATACTAATATAGCACTTGCATATTACTGCTCTTTTGTTGGTTTTGATTGGTTTTGATTGCTTCTATTGTCCTCATTTGTAAGTCGCTTTGGACAAAAGCGTCTGCTAAATGACACAATTTAAATAATATAATTTAAATAATGTAAATGTAAATAACAAAACTACATTGAAACTTTAAAACAAGCCCCAAATCAAATAAATAAGTAACACAAATAAAAGAAATGTCTTCATATAAACAAAATAAGGCTTTGTCTGTGCTCTTTCTATTTAAAATGAGAGGCAACCACTGCATTTGAATCATGATCCAAACAAAGATGCTGCATACATGCAACATGAGCAGTTTTTAATCTAAACTGGATTGTATAATTTCGAAATTTGAAGCAAAAA